AGAGCTGCTGCAGTAGAAGTCTTTCAGTGAGTCTTTTGCTAAAACTATCTTAGTTTGTTTTTTTTTTTCAAAACCTATCTTAGTGATACATATGACCCTGACAGTGGCTCAGTTTTTAAGGTCTGTTACTCTGCCGTTTTTTCATGGTACTGGGAGAGGACCACAGGGCCTGACACAGACATGCACTGTCCACCGAATCCTGCAGATTTATTTTTACATTTGAAGAGGAAACACACACTAGACTTCAAACTGCATGAGCCTGAGCAGAAGAAATGGCTGGCACTTGACTTGCAGGCCCAGTGAGTCCATGCTTTGAAAGAACAGTTCCAGCTAAAACTTACAAAGGTCAGTAGCAAATCAAACCTTACAACAATCTCAGTATCCTCTGGGGGAAAACAAACAATAATTTAAAAATGAAAGACATCTCCTAATTTCCTCCTAGACATACTATAGTTAAGAGCATTTCAACTCACCAATAATCTCAAGAAGCGAGCATCATAGTATAAAGAAGGCTTGATGACAAACAGTCTCTTGCCATGGTCCCCACTGTGCCGCACAGGAGCTAAAAATGAACAGGGTTCATGCGGGGGGTGGGGGGCGAGAAGACCACCAGATATACATGAGTAAATATACATCAGAGTGGGTAGGACGAGTTTTAGAGACTGACGGGCTGTTCTCAAGTATAGCTGCTGCTTTTATCTTACTTTTTGATAGTATGTGTGTTGAAGCCAGCCCTTACACATGCAGGTAAGTGTATAGCTACATAGCTCCTCACTTTAATCCACTGTAAGAGCAGCGAGCAATCACTTCAGTGTACCTTAGAGGCAGGCGGGGAGGGCAGAGGCTCCTGACCAGCTGCTCACCCCTGCTTCCTCTACAGAAAACAAACATGCTAAAGCTCCCTAAAAACAAAGGTCAACACAGCCTCCTAACACAGAAGGTGAAGGCAGAAAGCTGCTGAAACACAGATGGACAGGACAAGCAGTATCTACATCAATCTCTAGCAGGAATTTGACCATTACAGACTACAGTGAGTAAAACTCAGTGCCTTGTATATGCTAGCCAGGCATTCTACCACCAGACAATACCCCCATCCCTCACATCCAGCAATCAAGAGGCAGAGGCAGGTTGAATCTAGCCTGATCTACATAGGGACAAGCTCCAAGACAGCCAGGGCTACATAACGAGAGGATATCTAATAGAACAAGGCAAAGATCCCCAAGAAATGCCTCCTATCTCCCCGGTTTTCTTTCACCTGAATCAAGCCTATGCCATGGGTTCTTTGCCTGTCTGTCTCACATCTCACCCTTCGGAGCTATGTAGCATCTCCTTACATAGCTCTTTTCTGATTTCCCCAAATAGTGTTGGTCTCCTGCTTTTCCCTTGAGCAACGCTTGATAACTTCCTTTAATGCAAAGAATACTAACCCTAATAATCTGTTAATGCTCATGAGGTCAGGGGACAAGATATGCAGCTCAGTCAGTCTCTCCAGTAAGCTTCAGTGTCTGACATGTGGCAGGTGTTGTGGGAACATTGGTGTTGGTGTTTCAAACAATCCAAAACTGGTCATTCATTTTCTTTCTCTAAATTCTCAGTTAAAAGTACCATTTTAATTACCTGGGCCAAAAAGCTAAGTCTACTTCCTTGCATCTGCCAATCTCTCATCACTTATCAATGACAAACTCACTGATAATGATTCGAAGAAGGGCTAGTGAGGTGGGCTGGAAAGGAAGAGTATTTGTTGCCAGGTTTGACCCCCAGATCCCACAGTGGAAAGTGAGAGCTGATCCCCAAAAGCTGTCTTCTGGCCTCTATATGCACAGGCACTTTAGCTGTGTCATGGCCCTTCTCCACCCCAACTGGGTCCTGGTCACCTCCTTCCCCCTTCTCTGAACACTCAGGCATACCAGAAAGCCTACACACTACTTCTGCCAGTTTCCCATGTTAAGGTGATTCTCATATTCATTTTACATTGTATACTTCTCGTCTGAGTTCACAGCACTGTGTTCACTGTTGATCTACTCTCCTCTACCCTGAGAAATATTTGTGTATATTAGCTTTAGAACGGAAAGGGAGTCAGTGTTTTCTGCCCACGGCAAGCTGGAGGGTTTGCTGCTTTGGGCCTGCGGCAAAGCGTGATGGAAGTATGTGTTGGAACAAACTGCACACCTTCTAGTGGCTGGAAAGCAGAGAAAGAAAGAAGAGGGGCTGGTGCCCTTTAAGGGCCCCCCTTCAATGACCAGAAGATCTTGAATCAGAATTCCACCTCTCAGACACTCAATTACAACGTACCAGCTTCTTGGAAGACAGTGGCAGGAGCACTGAAGGCTCAAAGCCAGCCTGCAATACAGAGTCTATTCAAGATCAGCTTGGGCAACTCAGTGACACTCTGTCTCAAAATTTTAAAGAGTAAAGAAAAAAAGGAGGGCTAGGGATGCAGCTCAGAGGAAAGAACTCACCCAGCTAGAACATGCAAGCACTTGTATTTCATCAGCAGTACCAAAGAAACAAGCAAATAAAATAAAACGGTAAATTTAATGCTGTGTGTATTTTCTAATTCAGGTGCATGGTGCTAAAACTGTTCCCTACTCAAAACACTTCACAACTACTCTGTGAGACATCTCCACAATCAGATGGTCATCTTCCAGAAATGGAAATGAAGATCATGACCAAGTGCCTTCCACTTTAGCTTCCGGTAGGTGTTGACTCAAGGTCATAGAGCTTTTAAACTCTGCAGCCAAGATTTGAATCTTGGCAGTCTAGCTCTAGAAAAAAGAAGATGGAGAAGGGCCCAGCCATCTTGCTGGGATCCCCGAGGATCTGGTGGAAGAGAGGAAACCCTCCAGGGAGCAATGGCAGATGCAGTATACCCGTGAAAGCATGACATAGAAAAACAGTCACTCTTGGAACAAGCAGCTAGTAGGCCTTCCCTGTTCCCTCTGGAAAGGACATGGGCTCCCCGTGGTTTTCTCACTGCAAGAGGAGCCACGGTCTTCTCTCAGTTTAGCTAGACTACATTCAGCCCCTCTCGGGGAGGATTCAAGGATCTCTACTTGTGTATCTGAGGATATTTATAATAAAAAATGATATGCAAAGGATTTGATCAAGAAATGTCAGCACATGGAGTTTGTGGGCAGTTTAAATTCCTGCTGGGTATTTTAAAAGCACTAGTCCTTTCCAGCATGTTCCAGAAGATCCCTATGCATACTGCCTCAATATAGAGTCTGGCAAAATTAAAATTAAGTTGGGAAAAAAGGGGAAAATAGGACAAGATGTTTGGAGACTGCAGAGAATGTTTTTGGCTTTAGGGTAAATTTTTTCGTTTCTCTGTATTGGACAAGGCAAATTGTGTATCTCTAACCAAGAGGATTAAATGAACTGACTACTTGAAATAGTACCTGGCACTTAGCAGATGCCCAATAAACACTGCCACCATTATTGCTAACTTAGTAGAGTGGCACATTATTTTTAATATTAAAATGTATTAAATAAAATGTATTAAATATTAAATTGTAGAATGACAAAATAACATTGAATTTACTCTCCTAGTCTCCGAAGAGAAAAAAAAAAATAGATCGAATACTAAGCATGTAGTATTTTGCTATGTTTACTCTTCTGGAAAGCAGAGGGGTCCAGGGTCAGGATCCTAGGCCCTCACTCTGACTGTCCTGAGACCCTCAGCTCTTTACTCCTCTTAGGCTCCTAAGAGAGCAGTGGCTCTCAACCTTCCTAATGCTGCAACCTTTTAATGCAGTTCTTCACGTTGTGATCCCCCCCAACCATAAAATTATTTTCGTTGCTATTCCACAACTGTTATTTTGCTACTGTTATGAATCTTAATGTAAACATCTGTGTTTTCCTATGGTCTTAAAGGGGTCGCGACCCACCGGTTGAGAACCACTGCAATATATTAAAGCAGGACTTCATTAACATACAGCAGACAGATACAAACTGAGCTGAACTTAACATTACACATTCACTCGCTACAGTCTTTTTAAAAAACAAACATAAAATGTTTTCGTGGACTTCTAAGACGCCGTGAGGTCCACAGACACAGTTACTGCTGTCACCTGGAGCCTTTTTACATTCGTGCCTAGGAACATCATCATTACAGCCTTCGCTTCAGTGCGCTTCTCAGCAACTTCCTATCTACGGGTTAGAACCAGCTGCAGATGTCACCCATCCCGATTCTGCCCTGAGCCCAGCGACGTAGCGCAAGCCTGTAATCTCAGCCCTGGGAACCGGGGCAGGAGGAGACTCGGACCTCCGAGACCCTGTCTCAATAAAGAAGAGCGTGGAGTTGCCCCTGGAGACGCGGGCTGCAGCTCCATGCCTGTCTAGCCTGGCTGCGAGTGAGCAGCGCCCGGCATGGCGTGGCAACGCTCTTCGCAAACGCTGAGCTTAAACAAGGCCATCCGATTTCTGCAGCAGCTCTTCCCACAGCCAGCGCGGCGTCTCCTCTAGAGTCCCAGGCCGACTTTGTCCCCGCTCTCTCCCTCAGAGGTCCCCAAGGTCACCTGGAAACAGCCCTCCCACCTCTCACCCGCATCTCCAAGGCCGGCACCCACCGACAGTCTTCGGAAAGCTCCGTGTGAGAAAACTTCCGACTCCTAGTCTAGTGCCAGCGCGGCGACAAGACAGCGCTGTCAGCGCGGCGACCGAAGCCCGCTGCAGCAGGCTCATGGCCGCCATGGCTACACCGGCCACGGAAGGAAGTGGGGTGGGCAACCGGAGCCGGGAGGGACAATCTACCAGTAAGGGCGAACGCTAGAGGAAGCCATGTTGAGTGAGGGCAGCGACCAGTTCTTGCTAGCTTCATAGGCGGACAAAAGTGACGATATTGTAGGTGGGGCGGGCGAAGAGCGTTGCGTAAACTCTATGGCATACTGCGGATCCGAGTGAGAGCCGTGGGGCGGCCATCTTTAGTAAGGTCAAAGCCTGTTCCTGTTTGCTTCACTCGTCTCACACAGCCAGCGGAAGTGACCTCGTGGACACCGACCCAGTGGGCCTACACTAGAAACATGGCTGCGACCAGTCTAGTGGGTATGTGTAGAAGAGCCTCAGCGTTCCTGAAGTCTGCTTGTTCCCTAGTAAATACCAAGGCCCCTGCTCACTCTGGGTAAGTGACGAGAGAAGAAATGACTGCCTCCGCTTTTGGGCGCTTCTTGCAGAGTACAGCAGAGCTCCGAGACAGGCTACGGCGGAGGCAGAGAGCGTGACCTTGGGGTCGCCTACCCTGGCGCACCCCGTTCTTCCTCCAGCGTTCTGCTGCCGCGGGCGGTGGGAGTTTCAGACGTAGGTTGGGAGAGAGGTTTCCAAGGAATCTTGAGCTGTGGAACGGAAAGGCTTCCCCTGGTGTCTTTGTTCCGTCGGGTTCGGACACAGATTGTTCGCAGATACTAAGTGATGACAGTAGCTAAGGCAACGGTAGCGGTTTCTGCGAGTGTGAGAAAGACAGCTTACTCTTTAATGACATTTGCCAGCAGGGGAACGAGTTTTAGAAATACTTTGAGTGCAGACTAATTGAAGGAAGCAAACCATGTTCAGTTGAATACTCAGCCGTTGTGCATCTATTTTCTATATTATTAACACTGACTTTGGAAATTAGCTTTTTAAAAACTTGTAGGGTTGTAACTTGATCAAGGTGGCAAACTTGAATAAATTATGTCGTCTTTCATTTTTTTTTTCCTTAAAAAATGAACTAATCTGAGGCTGTAGAGATGGCACAGTTTAAGTGCCTGTGCTGTTCTTGCAGAAGACCCAAGTAAGGGCTCATGGTGGCTCACTAACGTCTTTAACTCCAGTTCCTGGTGATCGATCCTATTTCTTCCTTAACCTCTAAAGGCATCAGCCACACACATGGTGCACATATATGTAGGGAAAACATTCAAATACATAAACCTTAAATTTGTTAATGAAATAATTTCATTGTGGTTTTTTTATTTTAAAAAAATGAATACCTGTCACTCAGAAGAGAGGCAAAATATTTTGAAGACGGTAAAATCAGTTGTGTATTCCCAAATGAACACATTGCCATTTTTTCTTTAACTTTGCAAGTATACACTTTATTTACCATTGTTTCCCCCAGAACAATAGAAACATTATTAGAATAAAACAGTAACCATACACTCGTAGCCCATAGTAACCAGTCATTGGCACTTTGTCACACTTTTCAAGATTCCCATATTTATGCTCTTTTTTCTGGACTATTTGACAGAGGTCAAAATTCAAACATAGAACCAAGGACATTGCCTTTAAGTATGACCCTGTGATCACACTCAGGAATACCTGCTATTTAGCATATAATCCAAAATAAAAATAGAAATTGCCCTATTAATTCCTTTTTCTTTCTGTCTCATTGTCTCAGTCCCATTCTTCTCTTCAAGATCCAATGAAAGACCATTAATTGCAATAGTTGCCATTAATCCTATATTTCTTTCTTCCTTTGTCATGATACTGGCCATTTGTGTAGGATTTAGAAATTTTGGTTATTTCTTTTTTCTGTTTTTTGGGTTTTTTTGTTTGTTTTTTGTTTTTTCGAGACAGGGTTTCTCTGTGTAGTCCTGGCTGTCCTGGAACTCACTCTGTAGACCAGGCTGGCCTTGAACTCAGAAATCCGCCTGCCTCTGCCTCCCAAGTGCTGGGATTAAAGGCATGCGCCACCACCACCCGGCTGGTTATTTCATCATAATTAGTTTCAAGTCAAGAGTCATGGATGTAGCTCAGTGGTAGAGCAGAGCACTTACCTAACACACCTGAGGCCCTGAGCCCAATCCTCAGTACACAGGAAAACAAATATAAATTCCAGTCAAATGCTCTTGGTTTGGAAGACAGCACTTGTAAAACATTTCATATTTTTTAAGGTCATCTTATCAGCTCATTAACTATTTTAGAAACATAATTTCTAAATATGTATATAAATATGCATAAGATTTTCATTCACTTATACAGTGTTGCATGTTTATGTAACAACTCTTTAATACCACATTTAATGTCTTTGTGGATATCTTAATCAGTGAGCTCCTGTCTAGTGTGTTAAAAGTTTCTAGATACAGGATTACTGCATTAAAGGAGAAAACATTGTGCCTTTTGAATGTTGCTACATTGACTTTCAGAATGGTTTTGATCTGTTCATAAATTTACTTGCTACAGTGGAGGAAGCCCTCTAAAATATAAAAAAGTTACTCTAAAATATAATTGTGGGGCCAACAAGATGGCTCAGGAAGTAAAAAGTTCTTGTCACTCAAGCCTGTTGACCTCAATTTTATCTGAAGAACCTAAGTAGTAAGAATTGTGTGCAGTGGCAAACATCTCCAATCCCAGCATTCCTGGGCCTAGATAGGAGGTAGAGAAAGGGGAAGCACCCAAAATCTTTCAAACCTGCTAACCCAAGTAATCAGCACAGCAGCATAAAGGAGAAAGACTGTGCCTCAACGAGGTGGAAGAGAACCAACACTGGAGGTTATCTTCTGACCAGTACATGTGTGTCATGGCACATGAATGCACATACTCACACATATGTACTAACAGTAAATAAAAAGATAGATGTATATAATTGTGTACATATGTTGTATGAAATTATGGGGTGGCAATCTGTACAATAAAAATACTTTCTCATGCATTTGAAAAGCTTACTGCTACTGGGGTAAAAATCCTGTATAGAATTTTGACACTATAATAAAGAAATGCTTCTTGCTTATAAAGTCAGAACATTATAAACTTTACTCCTTTGTTCCTTATTTGTGTTCAGTTGCAGGTCTTCTCTTAGTTTGTCACATAAGAACACACCACATGCCACGTCTTTTCTCCAGTGTAAATTACTTCACACCACGTTGTCAAGGAAAGGACTAGAAGAATTTTTTGATGACCCAAAGAATTGGGGGGAAGAAAAAGTCAAATCTGGTGAGATATATAGAATGGTCTGTAGTAATCAATTGAGCCCTTTGTCAGCCTAGGATTTCCTTTTAAAATTCCCTTTGGATTTTAAAGGTCATTCTTGTAACTGAAGTTACAACTTCCTTGGCTGGTTGGTGGACTGCTTAGAAGAGGGGTGCTTTGAACGTGTTAAGTAACATGAGGCTTGAGTTTATTTTAGTTGGCTTTTTTTTTTTTAAGTAACAATTGTAGTGACATTAGGGAAGGAAAATGCATTTGACACAAATACCAGCAGTCTTTGCCAGTCATGTTATTGATATTTTCATGTTGGTATTTAATTGAATTCTAATCATATATAATATAATTCTGTTGCACCTTTTACAGATACAGAAACATTGAACTTTGAGAGTGAGTGCTCAGCCAGGACATAGAGCTAGAAGTGTCATTTAATGTCACACATTTCTCCTTCTCACAGGAGCCTCATGGACCTGCCAGCAGTTGAGGAACAAAAGTAACGAAGATTTACATAAGCTTTGGTGAGTGTTCTGCATATTGAGACATTACAGTTTAACAGCGGGGTCAGAACCTCCCCCACGTGAGAAAGCACTGGTCAAGTGATGTGTTTTCATGGGACAGTGGGTGATAGTGTGAGCTTGTTAAAATGTGGCAGAGGATTGCATTAAGACATATCTCACAGTTCAGAGGTAGTCGGAACTTTAGATTTTTGCTGTAAGTGCTATGATTCAGACCACTACCTTTACACCAGTAGTGTCAGGAAACAAGGTCAGAAATGACCCAGGGACTGGATGGTCACGGTTACACTGTCCTCCCTTTTCTTCCTTCCTCGTTAGCTATTGTTTAATGTAAATGATGACAGAAAGCAGATATTTATAGTCCAGTAGTTGACTTACCTTGTACTTGTTAGGATGAGCCCTGTTAGCTGCAGCTCATAGGAGCCCTAAACCCTAATTAGGAACGAGAGGCTTGGTTTCCCGGGTAATAAAGTAACAATTAAATAAAATTCGGGGTCTTTACTATTAACTCCATGCACGCAGAGAGGATTGAGAAAGAGGGCTGCAGTGCTCGCAGAGATCTGCAGACGTGGAGCCTGGGCTCACTGAGGTCCAAAGCTCTGTTGCCCTCAGTACGCCCCCTGTTTCTTTTCCCACCTCATTTGTTTGGAAGACTGTTTAAAAACTGGGAATGTTGAACAGAAGCAAGGGTACATCCCATTTCAAGCAGGGTTCTTTTTCCCTGTTCTAAACAAACATTCAGAAGATGTCTCTAACTGAAGTCTCACCACTGACCAGATGTTAAGGAGTCATTGTTAAGGCAGTGGTAGTTGTCACAACTCCTGCCTTTCTTTTCACTCCCCGTTACATGACCTGAATAGCATAGCATTTACAAAACCCATCCATACTGCACTTGTTATAGAAAAATAAATTTTAGTAAAGCACTGTTCTTATGAGTTATTGATAAAGGTCAACTTAAGACCGTCTCATCACTCACTGTGCTAAAACCAACATCTGCCACTCCTCCCTCCAGGACTGTCTCCATCTGAGTCTAAGGCTCCCGGTTCCTTTGTCTCGCTTGCACTGCCCTCCACAGTTACTGCAGTAATTCTGAAGCTGAGGTGCTCACGACACCCCTTTATCCAACTTAGCCAGGTCAGTGCTTCAGAGTTCAGCTTCCTTGTCACCTTACATCTTAAAGCCCAAACCAGGAAGTCTTCCCTGGTCACCTTAGCTCTAGAGAAGGTGCCTCATGTTCACACCTTAACTGTTCGAATCCATGTCATCTACCTAACCCAGTAAGCCACATTGGAAGTAGCGTGGCAGGCTAGAGGTAGAATTTACACAGAAGTCTGAGATATGAACCCAGAATTTGCTGTGTGACCCATGGTCATAGTCCCTGACTACTCTGAGCTGTCTTCATTAGAGAGAGGGAACTAGTGCCAACCTCGAGCGTGTGAAGCATGCTCTGCACTTGGGTGTGCAGGAGCTGCACAGTAGTACTCTTCACCTTCCTTCCCCGTGGGATGGAGAGACTGTGCCTGACGCTTTTGTGATCCTCTGGCACTCCGCACAGGACGCATCACTGAGTAAGCTGGAGGGTGGCTCTTGGTGCTGGTACTATGTGAGCTTTCTGAAGGACTTCAGGACTCTCACGGCTTGTAATTTTGAAGTAAGAAAGCACTATTGAATAGCATCACAGCTTTGTGTTTGGTACAGGTATGTCCTTCTGAAGGAAAGAAACATGCTTCTAACTCTAGAGCAGGAGGCCAAGCGACAGAGACTGCCAATGCCAAGTCCAGAGCGGTTAGAAAAGGTAGGCTTGTGCGAGCTAAGACCCTCGCATGGGGTTAAAGCTAAAGGGAAGACAGTCGCGCTCCTTACATTTCTGTCCAACACATTCCAACAGTTTCACATGAGAGCATGTTGTCACAGGTGTTAAGAACCTTTGCTGTCCCCTCATTCTCAGTTGCTACTTACAGATGGGTATTCATTTTTCTCTTGAGCAGCTACCTGGGAGTAAAATTGCCAGGCCATACGCTGTCTCTGGGGAGCTGCTTTCTGAGACAGCCATGTATGGCAGGCTCCTGCCGTGGAGCCCACGTTCAGTCTCCAGTATCCCAGACATAAAGTGGCCATGGCATTCTAGCTCAATCTGGCCATTCTCCAGGAGCTCAGACCACGTTTTATTTGGAGGTTCTGTTGTGTTTCACCCTTAGATTGTTTTAGAGCTCAGCACGTGATTTCTGTCCTGTGTAGCCAGTGAGACCAGAGCCGAGCTTCAGACCAGCTGTGGTACTGAGCTCCCCTCGGCTCACTTGCCTTCCCTGCTCCATTCCATTCATAAGCACTCTCACAGACTGCCTGCAGATGAAAGGCCACATGTGACACAAGTGTGACAGTGTGTCTGCCAAGCCCAAGTGTGCACTTGGCTTGGAAAAGGCAGTGGTAGTTGTCACTTCTCATTAGCTCGCTGCACTTTGAAACTTGAGTGCTAGTGCCATGTGCACTCAGAAGCAAGCATTAAGAAAGGAAAAGACAGGGGCTAGAGAGAGCTGGCTCAGAGGTTGAGAGCACAGACTTTTCTTCAAGAAGTCCTGAGTTCAATTCCCAGCAACCACATGGTGGTTCACAACCATCTGTAATGGGGTCTGATGCCCTCTTCTGGTGTCTGAGGACAGCTATAGTGTACTTATATAAATAAATTTTTTTTTTTTAAAGGAAAAGATAAAACTTCAAGCAGGTTACAGAAAATCATTCTGTAGACACCCCTGAACCCACCTGTCAAAAGGGCTACTTACAAAGTACTATAGAGGGTGGTTTCTAAATAAAAATACAAGTCCCCCTACTTTGTAGATCTTCTTGTTCTTCTGGAATGCAGTTCCAAGTAATGGCTAAAGTTAGCTGTCTTTTTCTCGCCTCAGGTTGTTGATTCCATGGATGCTTTAGATAAAGTTGTCCAGGAGAGAGAAGATGCTTTAAGGCTTCTTCAGACTGGTCAAGAAAAACCCAGACCTGGCGCTTGGAGAAGGGACATCTTTGGACGAATCATCTGGTACATGATTATACTGACTTCTAAGAATGGAGATTGGTGACCTGGTTTCCCCTTTCAATACCTTTAAAACTCCTCTCCTATGGATATATTAGCATCTTATGTAAAGAGAGGTCCCAATCCCCTAGACCACAAAACATGTTTTGTCTTGTAAAACAAATTCCAGACCAGACAACTCATCCTGTGGGTTCTTGTCTTGCGTGAATCATAGATTCTTTCAAGAGTTTCATGAATTATTCTGACAGGAAAATCAGCCTATATAGATTCTAAAACTCCAAAGGCTAATTTCAGATACGCCTCTGCCCACCTTGTGCACTAAGAACCTGGGAAGGTTCTTGAGAGTTCTGAGCAACAAGGCCAGTTTGTTTGTTTCACTGGCATCAGGATAAGCTCTGGGCCAAGTAATGAACAGCTTACCTCCTTCCAGGGAAGGATCTGAGATTTAGCTTAGACACTGAGGAATAAAAGACCCAGGGGATCCAGGACACACTAACTCAGGGACATGGAGTGTCTTAAACATGAGTCAGCAAGTAGAGAAGCTTGAGGTGTCTAGACATCCTCTGAACCCAGCATTGTATACCACCTCACCTGATGCGGAATTTCAACCATCCTGTCAGGAACCATCTAATCCAAGCAGAAAGAAATTGCCAAAACCTCACTTAAAAACTCTTCCAAAGAGGCAGTGGTGGCACACACCTTTAACCTCAGCATTCTGGAGGCAGAGGCAAATGGACCTCTGAGTTCAACACCAGACTGTGGTCTACAAAGTGAGTTCCAGGACAGCCAGGGCTACACAGAGAAACCCTATCTCAAATAAAATTTTCCAAGGATTTAGGGATGTAGCTCTGGTTGAAAATCTCCAGCATGCAATTTTAGCTGCATTTTCTGATAATTTTATTTTAAACTACATTTTTAAAAAAATTATTACTTTTCTTGTTTGTGAGTTTGTATGTGCTGTGGTGTGTATGTGGTCAGAGGGAACTTGCTTAGCTATCTCACTGGCCCTATTATCTAACAATTTTTATTTGGCTTAATTTATTTGCGGCCAATTAGAAAACAGTGAAATATTGAAGTAAAAATTATCAAATATTTCATGTAAAGCAATAACTTAACTTTTTTGGCAGGCACAAATTCAAGCAGTGGCCTATACCTTGGTACCTAAATAAGAGATACAACAGGAAGCGGTTCTTCGCCATGCCTTACGTGGATCAATTTATCAGGTGAGCAATGTCCTCATGAGGAAGCAGCCTCCTTAGTCCAGATGGCGTGCGATCTGAGTTTCCTTTACACCTTGGTCTCTACTACATAAAGAATATGCTTTCATTACTTTAAAAAAGAAATAGCACTAGGTTGAAAAAAGGAGAAAATTGATGCCATATATCTAAAACCTTATGTGCATAAAGTCACTACACCAACAGCGTGGATCCTTTTGAAAGTTGTATGGCTTCTGTATGTCTGAAAACAAGAAAATTCTACAGTACCATGTGGTAGCACTTTGTAGGGCTAGTGGAGAGGGGAGGTGTCTGCCGCATTGTATCTGAGATACTGCTGGGCTGCAGGCTGCTGCCTCAGTGTTTCCTGTGCTGTGACAGAGTCTACATTCAGTTTAGATGAGGCAAGGAGAATGTGGTGCTTCTCTTACAGAACTGTAGTTGACAATAAGCAACAGCTAGGTGATTCTTAAGAAACTAGGTAAGATTCTGCTTTTTTTTTTTAAAGATTTATTTTGTGTATATGAAATACACTGTAGCTGTCTTCAGACACACTAGAAGAAGGTATCAGATCCCATTAGATGGTTATCAGCCACCATGTGGTTGCTGGGAATTGAACTCAAGACCTTTGGAAGAACAGTCAATGCTCTTAACCTCTGAGCCATCTCTCCAGCCCAAAGCTACTTAGAACCCCAAAAGCAGACAAGCCAAGACTGTGTACTTATCATACTGCAGTTAGAAGGGAGGCAGAGAGACACAAGATTGTAGTGTCATACTGAAGGGTGACATGCACCCTTTAGCTGCTCTGCTGGCACACCTGTGACCCAGCACTGAGGAGGCTGAGGAAGACTGTGTACAAGAGCCCTGTTAAGTCCTGTTATAAACAAACAACCTGCCAGGGATTCTTTCTGCTCTCAACAGGCTCTTCACAAATTGGTTTCTACCCCAAAACTTAATCCATAGGAAAAGTAAAAGAGATTTAGACTTAGTTTGCCCATGTGTGTGCACACACACACACTGCCCTAGGTGATGATTGTGTCTAAGTTTGCCCATGTGTGTGCACACACACACTGTCCTAGGTGATGATTGTGTGTGGAGGTTAGGGGACAACGTGCAGGAAGTACTTCTCGCCTATAATCCAGGTTCAAGGAATCAAAAGTGCCTTCACTGCTGATCACATCACCTGCCATTTTAGTTTTTAGACTGAGCATTAAAATGTTTAGTATAGTTATCAACCAACCAACCTTGCATCTTTCTCTCTGAACCAGCCCCGTTCCTTGGTTTTGATTGGGTCTGTATGAGCCAAGCACCTGCTGTAGGCCAGGCCAGCCTAGAGCTCTGCCAGCTGGGATTAAAGGTGCACTAACATACCCAACTTCATTTCTGTCCATAGTGTACCTGTGCAGTGATGCCCCTAACACTGCCTGTTTTTTGAGAACCAGCCTCGGGTTCAGTCTGTCCTTCATTCAGATGGCTCCTGCACTGCATCCAATCTTCCTTCTTCCATGTCTACTCTAGGATAGCCCCTTGCTAAGCGTGATCCTAGCTCTGGTCTATGCCTCATGACTTTCAAGGCTTTTATCAGTTTCAAAACTGTGCAGTACTTCCACATCTCTAGAACAGCACGGCCTGCTCCCCTCACTCTAGTTAGGTACATCCTTCATCAGTGACAATACTCACTGTCTCCTGACACCTTGCTCATCCTACCTCTGGTGAAATCTCTCCACATTTAAGACCTGGTTATGGTGCTACATTGCGTCTGTTCAGTTTCTGCTGGCACAGTACTGAGAGGTTTTACTTCCATCATCTTGTGTGTTTGTGGTGATCACTTTTAAAGCTTCATTTATATACACCAAGTGCTGCCAACATGACTGAGGCTCTCAGAGTTGGCTAGGACATGTTTTGCAAAAGGGAGAATGGTTTTGTCTAAGTTGATGTTACGTTTTTGTTCTAGACTGAGACTCGAGAAACACGTCCGCGCTGAAGCAAGAAAGAGAAGTTTACAGAAAAAGAAAGAAAAAATTCTCCAGGCAAAGTTCCCACATCTCTCTCAAGACCAGAAATCAAGTACTGTCTAAAATGAGAGCCATTCCATTGTTCTTAAAGCCTGTGTCCTGATGTGAATATGTGTTGAGCAGTTTATAAAGAAATGTTCTTGTCAAGTGACATGAGTTGTTCTTCTAAGTAACCCGGCATCTTCATTAGCTCTACAAGTAGTTAGTAGTCCTCCTACCAAAACCAGGCAGTGTAGGTTCAGCTTCCACCGAACAGGTCCTGACGTTTCAGCAGCTTAATGTCACCTGATAGCTTGGTATAAATGGAATGCTTGTTGCCAATTCAATGCCAGCAGCAAAGTCGGTTTGGAAATGCTGTGTTCACCAGTAGTGTGAACCTGTGATGGCGAAGGAGCTGGAGAGGGCTCAGAGCTCAAGAGCACTTGTTGCTCTTCCAGAGAACTCATCACATATATGGAAGCTTAAAACCATCTGCAACTCCATTCGTAGGGAAACAGCACCGTCCTCTGTCTTGTGAGGACCCCAGGCACTAACTAGTGTGGCGCAGATTTACATGCAGCTGATATACCCATGCATAATTTTGTTAGCATGAAAGGGATGTGGACACTGGTAGTGAAACAGCGATTGCTTTCCCCCTTATCAAGGAATGGTAAAAGCAGCACTGACAGCAGCAAGTCACAACAGACAAATCCAGAACCCTTCTAGGACAGTAGTGATTTTTTATTTAGTTTTGTAAGCCTAAGGTAAAAAGCATAGGCAGTAACTTTTACTAGTCAATAAAGAGTAATTCCACCAACTCAAAGGAGAGCTGGAAAGTACTTCCTGAAAGCAAAATATTTAGAGAAAATAGACATTCATACAAAATTATAAAATGCCTGTAATAAGAATAAGTGCATTTCAAGAAAAGCACAAACTCATTTAATTTATAGAGCCAGTTAAAGCCTTAAAAAATTTAAGTGGAAATTGAAATATGCAAACATGTATAAACATTCTACAAAAGATGGTCATCTTTTCCTGAGTGTTCTAAAGCTACAGACGTGAGGTGACGGGCAGCAGGCAGGTGGAGCCCTCAAGGGCATTTTCTTTCTACACACTGCTTCCCTCCTTCTTCATATTCCTGTTTGGAAATCCACATCTGTTGAAAGGTGCCCTGTAGATGGAAAGAAGCACTGCATAATTATGCCTCAGTTTTTATGAGAACGGGGTGCTTTTTACTCATAATGTCCTTAACTCTGCTAAACTATTAAACTCCCTCCACCAAAAATAGTACTGCCCCGTATTCCTTCTGCCTTCCTCTGAGACAGCCCAGACATTGTTTAGGCTGGCCTTACAGGTCTAAAAGAACACCAAGCCCCTCTATCCCTGTTACATCAAAAAGAAATTAGAAAATGGCTGGCAAAGGCACAAGGAAGGCTCGTTAAGGCAGTAGTGGAACCTCTTAGTGGGCACACGCCAGTTACTTCAGGTCCTCTGAGGGGAAAATGGAAACCCTGTATCTCACACACTCCCAATTCAAGGTAGACTCCTGGTTAGACTAAGCACAGTGATCTCACTGGCCCTGATTACACAGCCAGCTCCTGACAGCCTTACCAGAAGTTGGGAAACAACTGAACTCAAGAAGAAATGACTCATCAATAAATGTAGTGCAAGCCTGCCCAGGGCCAAGACGTATTAACAAACAGAACAGCTCCCACTGAAGGGAAAGTCAGTGGCGAGTGACAATGCATCTGATGATGCATCTGATGTATCCGACAGAGCCAACTGCAATGGTGCGGACCTACTGTCCCAGCACTCGAGGCTGAGGCAAGAAGACTCCAAGGTGGAGCCAACCTGAGGTTGCTGGAGTTGGGAGTAGGGTTGGGAGTCATTTTTATAGGTAAATGGTTTTAAGCAGATATTCCTACTAGGTCCCCACTCATCTGTCAGTTTTAAATGCAAAGATCAATGAAGCACTGAAATCATTCTTAATATTTTTACTAACTAGTATTTTCAATGCTATATTTAGGCCAAATGAGAATCTTTTGTTTTTAAGTTAAAATTTCTGCTTATACTGAAAGTTTATACGACTCAAAATTGTAATAGTCAACCATTACCAGAAAACCCAGAGTGATGTTCTAGAGGGAAAAAAAATAATAATTGGGGAGAGTTACTTGTAGTACTAAAGAGATTTTTTTTTTCAGTACAGAATAAATATTAAAAGCATTCTTGAGCCCCAACAAAAAGAACCAGAAACGATGTAATAAATTATTCAGAGAAAAATAGTGCACTGTCGTATGATAAAACGTTCTTTATAAACTGCTGCACACAATCTCATTCTCAACAGCTCCTCTCTCAAACCAGAGTCTGTGTCAGTGGAATCTCTCTACTAACCAAAGATGCTAGGATGGAGCCACCAATCCATGAGCTGAACCTCCGTTCCACCGTTGTGTTGTTGGCAATCAATTTCAACCGCATACTCTACAACAGACAAAGCAGGATATTGGGATAGCCACAACTTCCAACCTGGGAATTCAGTACTGAAAACCCTCTATTGCCACAGTAGAACATGTACTTGGGACACAGATAGGCAGATCTCTTAGTTCCAAGCCAGTGTGTTCTACATAGTGAGTTAGGTCAGATAGGGCTACAACAGCATCCATATCTCATACTCACCCTGTCTTTCTCACACACGTAACACACAGAAAAAAAGTTTCACATGGTGTCAAGTAGCTAAGCTAATAGTTGGCATAAGTTAGGCTACGTTTCAGGAAAGGTCTTAGCGAATATAGGGTAAGAAAATAAACTATATGACTCAGAGAACTGGATAAATACAAGCAACACCACACCAGGTAGGAAGGCACACTGGACTGGAAATCCTGAAACCCATGCTCTAACTTTTGCTGTCAGCAAACATGTTCAATATCCTCAGCATGATACTCCCCTCAAAGTTTTCATTCCTGCAGCAGTAGAGACATTACACAGAGCTTGGAGTATCCTGCACTAACAGCTCTATTAAACATGTTTTATGATGTTCTTTGAGTCACTAACACTTACTTTGTAATCTCATTTACAGACAGAATTTATATGTGTACATAATTTCTTACACAACCGTTAAATATAACAAATTAACAAAGCAACAAAAACTTGAAAACTTGCATAGTACAAGGACAGCACTTAAATTCATGCACATACTTCCGAAGGCACCACCCTAGGTGCTTCATCCATTTTCATTTAAGTGTCCCACCCCCCAACCCCCAGAGGTCCCACCATCGCAACTCTTCCCAATCTAAATGCCAGACCACAGGTGACTTTTGATTCATACTGCCTGTCATCCAAATTCGTACTTCTGCTCAGCAGAGTGGCTCATGTCTACAACCCCAGAACCCAGGCTAAAGTAGGCAGAATGCTGAGTAAACTAGCCTGGTCTACAATGGGACAACATATGCCCCATCTCAAGAAACTAAAACCTTAGTGCCTCTGGCCCTGAACTTGGGATCTTCCTGCCTCAGCCTCCCGGTACCTGGGATAACAGGTTTGTACCATACCTGGGCTCAATACTATATTCATGTCACTTTCTTTATTTAGGGTCTTTTCCCTTCTTCCTTATGAATCTGCCTCTGGGAATCATTTTCAAGGTGTCCAAACAGGCACTCTATACAACATAAATGTAGACTACCTTCACAGTGCATTAACGTGTGGGGACATACAGCCCAGAACCAGAGAAGTGCTAATATGGGTGTCTGTTCTAGAAAGGAACTTTTCTCAAGACAGTTTTCTTAATTTGAATTACTCCCTAAAGGACAAAAGTTTCTAAATTACTCTTGGGGGGGGAGCTTAAGAATTTTAATTATGTATATGTATATGCCTGTGTGAGCCTATGTGCACATGAGTGCAGGTGCCTCAAGCAGCCAGAGAGGGCACTGGAGCCCATGGAACTGTAGTTACAGGGGGTATGACCAGCCCAATGTAGGTTCTAGAACTCAGGTCCCCTACAAGAACAGTTCATGCAGGGAAGGCTGCTTAATGCCAGCCCCTAATTCCTCAGCAGACCTTGGACCATTCAAGCCTGTAGTTCTATTTGTCGGGTTTCTATGAAGTCCAATGGCCAGAACTTCTACTGCAGGTTCTCCTACACCAGTGGTTCTAACCTCCTTGAATCCTTCGGGGAGTTGAATGATGCTTTCACAGGGGTCACATTTAGATATCCTTTGTATCAGGTACTTACATTATGATTCATAATAGCAAAATTATAGCTATGAATTCTGTGGTGGTCACAACATGAGGAATTGTATTAAAGGGTCACAGCATTAGGAAGGCTGAGAACCACTGTCCCAGACTATCATCTCCAACTGTGCAGTATACTGTCAATCATGGAAGTGTATCAACACCCAAATAGCACTTCTAACTATAAACATACAGTGTATGTAACATCAGCAGCCAAAACAGACAGTTTCTACAGAAACACTTAGCACCCTTTACACATATTATATCTGGTATTATTAATACAAATGTAAATTACCCCTCCAGATTTTCTTCTCCTTTAAAAATTAGCACCATATGCCCTGTGAGTGTATATGTGTGTTCATGTATGCACACTTATATGTGAATGTGTATATGGAAAATAATCTGGAGAGAGATAAAAGATACCTAATTTGACCTCTGGCCTCCAGATAGATGTATATGGGTTAATGTACACAGCACACACAAACATTTAAAAGATTCAAGTAACAGAAGAGGAACCAATAAGTGTTATGTAGGACAAATAGATTATTAATAGATAATACTCATATTGTAAAGGCACACAATTCTCTATTAAATTCTAGTCGGTGAGAATGGACTCAACTAAATAACACAAAAACAGAAAAACTTACTGGCGGAGTTTTCTGAGAAAGCTCTCTATTTAACCTGTCAGTGAAACTCTGTATTAGTGTGTTTCCTCCTGCTACGATCACACTGCCATAGAGACCCTAGGAGAGAAACAGAATCATTTCCAGATGTTTCCAACAACCCTATAGTATCGTTAGGTGCTGGGAATTGGATCCAGCTACTAACTTCATTGTTTTTCCATTTATTTATTTTGTGTGTATGTAAGCATGCCACAGCTTATGTGTGGAAATCAGAAGTCACTTTTGAGAGTTGATTCTTTTTCCAGCATGTGGATTCTGGGAATCTAATTCAGGTTATCAGGCTGAATGCAATCTCCTGGCCATCTTGCCAGCCCAGAGCCACTAATGTAAAACAATTACTGTTAAACTCATAATTCTTATTGGCAGACAGCTACTAATATTAGAGGTACATTTTATATTGATATTTATCTTTGTTCATCTGAAAGTCATAATATTTTAAATTAGACAAAACTGTTTTATGATCATGACAGATATTGATACTCTTTGGAAACATTCCTGAACAAAATGCTTTCTCTTTTGTAGGAATATTGCAACTTTTTTAGAACACAGGCTGAACCTCCCAAATAAAAACAACTTCATACTCATAGGGAATGTATTTACTTCTACTTTGCATGTATCTATCAAAATGTCAATGTCAGTCTGCCTGTTTAACTGGCTATGTTCTTCGTTTTAAAACCTACCCCAAGCATCTAAGTCATCTACATTTCAAAACAGAAAATGCAAAAATTGGGCCCCATCTGCTAACATTAAAGAAATAGAAAATGATCTCAATAAAAAGTCCCACTCTGCAAATGTATTTAATTCTCTGCCCTTAAGTGACCTTGCACAAAAAAAAAGAAATACCAACACTTAGAGCAGAGAATTAGCTCGGTGGGCTACAGGTGCTCGGTACGTACATTTTGACATGAGTTTGATCCCTGGAATCCACGTAAAGGTATAATGACACTCAACTCCACAAAATTGTGCCTCCATATACAAAACACACATGCACGCACACACACCAAAAAAAAAAAAAAAAAGAAAGAAAAAGGTAAAAGACACTATCACTCCCACTGTCCTAGAAGTGGTACAGGCTGCTAAGTGACTTGAAGGAAACCGTTCTCACGGTCACCCGACAGCCTCGTGTGAGTATGGTGTTTATACACTCGCATCTATTCACACCATACTTTAAACAAATTAACTCGAAAACCAAGATAGTATGTGGGTTGTAAACTAAGTGGATTATGAAATAAATCTACAGCTTAATAAATTATAATACAGATGACTATATTATGTAATCAAGTCTATATAGTATCGACAGTTCAAAATTTGACATAGCAGAACAAACACAAAAATCATCTAATATAAGTCATGTAGAAGCTGCACATTTAAGCCACATTTTTCTACAAACCACAAGTCAAGAAAAATCACCAATTTCTATGAATCTTGACTTTCTACATTTTAGGAAATCTGGAGTAGCAATGACAGTAACAAGTAGACTGGCACTTACTGGTCTGATGTCAATGTCACACATTCCAACACTGGTTGTGACAACATGACTGACTCCCAGCATTGTGTTCCCAGATAGCCCCTAGAACAAGAATGTAAGTGTTCACATGGAAAATCCCCATTGGCAAGTTTAGTCTTATTTAGGCTTTTTAATCCCATAAATTCTCTACACAGGAAAAGCCACACCAATTCTGAAATTAGCTTTCACACCTTTACATTGGAAGGGTCAAATAATCCTTCAGGAATTTTCAGCCGCTCTGCACCAAAATCACAGTTGTAACCATTGGGGAATTCGTAGTGAACAGTTGGCATCTGTGCAGCCACTCTACAAACATAAACAGTATTTCACAGAAAGCAAAACAACCCTGTTCAAAATTATAATCCACTTAAAACAGCTACCAATCTCTGAGAAATTAGAGTACAAATACCTAAGGGCAGTATTCAAAATATACTTTATGTTTTCAAGCTAACACATTCCACAACCCTTTAATATTTAAACAAACAAAAGTCCTGACTTCTGAAGTACAGTTAGAGAGAAAACATACTGTTCGTCATAGGTGGAGTCTGACACCTGAAGAACGGAAGCTTGAAAATCTTGGATGACACACTGTGGACAGAGAGAAGTTAAGAATCAGGTTGGAATCTGCCTCTGTAATGTGCACCTTATGTGACAGTCTAGAGAATGACATCAGAGCACTTTCTCATGGTTGAATCATTTGAAGAGGGTAACTCTTCTAAAGACTGGGCATCAACATACCTAATTCTATAGTGGGAATTTACAATTTATAGCATAAATTAAATTCAGTTTTACGCAAGTTATTTCAGTTACACTACTTTTGGGACAATAACAAGAGATTAAAAACAACCAGGAACCTGCACCACTCCCCAACCAGTTTCAGAACATCATTCTTTTCCTTAAAAGTAAGCTGATTTATTACCTATCTATCTTTGATTTTTACCTATCTTTTGTTTTTATCTATCTATCCATCTATCTTTGGTATCTATGTATCTATGTATCTATGTATCTATCTATCTATCTATCTATCTTTGGTTTTTTGATTCAGGGTTTCTCTATGTATCCCTGGCTGTCCTAGAACTCACACTGTAGACCAAGCTAACCTCCAACTCAGACATCCAAATGCTTCTACCTCCTAAGCTCTGGGATTGAAGGTGTGTGCCACCACCACCCAGTAACTTGATTTTCTCACCTGAATATGACATGCAGACATGTCATCTCATAGAAATTTCTAGTGACTGCTGTGAAATGAACATGGGCTGCAGGTTGATGTGGGAAAACCTTTTCTGGTATCTATATAGACTCATTAATCCAAGTATTTTCCATGTTCTAACACACACAACTTTGAGTGCAACATGCTCTCAGGATACACTAAGTCAAGTATGTCTTTCATATCCTTTTACTATTAGAAATTAGTATGTATCTATGAGATGGCAATGTACTGACCTCTCACCTACATAGGTCTACACAGTCAGACAGACTTTCCCCAGAGTCTCACTGGCCCATTGCTAGAGCAGTCACACACATTTTCATGTCTGATAAATGCTAGGGAAGAAATCACACCTAAGCTATACTAAGTTCTACACAAACTGAAACCATTTTCTCAACAACAACAGTATAAAATAAAATAAAATAAATAAAATAGCATGCTTGCTTCTATCCTAAAGCCAAAGCCTCCACCACGTCTTCACCCTGCTCTGTAGCAGTTTATGTGTAGGCACTGTTTCAATAGTATGGAAAGTGCTCCCCACCCCTAAGCTATTTGTCAGATACTTAAAAAAAATAATAAATAAATAAATAACATGGCTGTTTCTGCCCAATCCAGAGGCAGCCCAATTGTCCCTCCAGGGTAATAAATCTCTGTGTTGTTAAAACAAAACAAAACAAAACAAATCCCTGGACTCAACACTTTAAGACAGTAAGGATTACTTACATTGCACATGTAATTGTGCCAAGACCTTGTAACCTGGGGCAGTTTCTCTTTTCTTTTCCAGTTGGCTGGAGAGCCTTCTCGAACAGCCTCCTGAGAACATCAAGAGCACATCTAAGAGACTTCACAACACACGAGAGGAGGCAAAGGCAGGCCCATCCCCATCACATGCTGCTTACTTTTGATGCAATCATGTAAGGAGGAATGAGCTCTATGTTCATCTCCTGGAAGAGTTCTCTGCACTGCATGGTAATGAAGTCTCCAGCCAGAGGGGATTTCACAATGCCTGAGAACCAAAGCAAACAAGGCTGAAGGAGCCCACAGTCTCAATTCTTTGGAACTGTGAATATATTTACACAGGAATAGGTTTCTTTTAGTAGATAAAGTAAACTATCATTCCAAAGAGGAAAGCCATGCATTTGAAACATATTACTTGGGAACAGATGTGCTCCAATAAAATTCCTGGTCTGTCTTCACTATCTGTGTCCTCAAGACCCAGAAAGTCACCATGTGCCCCCATTAAGCAGTTACCTTGTTGAAGGACATAGCCATCATGGACTGGAATCGCAGTGGTGTGGGTAGCTCCACTGTCCAAAATCAGCCCAGTAGAACGCCCATTAGCAAATCTAGTTTAAAGCATTAAGGAAAATAAACTATCAACGCTCCTTGGATAGTAGTGATTATGAAAGGCTGCTGGCTCTTGTAATGTTTAAGCCAGTTTATTAACCATATGTTATCATTTACATGTGTCAAAGCATGTCTATGGATAAAAACTGGTGTCAATAATTACTCTGTCTTGAAAAAACCTTACACAGGTAGGAATCCCAGAACGGTTTCTACACAGAACCCTTCTGTAATTAAGCTGCTTAAAATGAGCGTATCGAACCCCTCTACAATTGATCAAAAAGCTTACAATCAATTGAGACATTTTTAACAACATTTATAAAAACTTGACAAGGGAGGCTGTGACACCTCAGGTGGAGAGTTCTGGTGGACCACTGCAGGCATGGCAGCTAGGTGGCAGTTCCTGCCCCTACCCCAGTACGCCAGACAAGCAACTCCAGGTGGATCAATAGCTGGTGACAGAGCAGCTCCTACTTCCCTCAGCTGCATGCTACAGGCCTATATGTAAGCTCACTGAGCTGTTCACCGGTAGCTCAATTACCTGCTGAACATTTATGATGTCCCAAGTCTGGCACATACTCACATTTCAAAAGAGGTAAAGTACAGAGAAATGGGCGGGGAGAAGGACATAACAAAGCTGCCACTGACATTCCTTAAAAGTAGAAGACACACACAAGCCATCTCTACCCTGAAGGGTATCTTGTTTAGAAAAACAGAGGTCAGTTTATCTGCAAAAAGAAAAGCTTGGGATGTCCTGGAAAGATAAGAAAAGCCCATCCACCCAACCTGTTCCTGGCCCCCAGGTTCCTCCAACAAAAACCCGGGGAGAATGTGGACGGACGAGGAACAAGCAGGAAATATAAGAAGCACAAGAACATGGTAAGCCACAACTACAGACAATCAACAGAGCTCCACGTAGGGCAGAGAAGGGTCACAGAGAACCATGCTGACTCAACACAGAATGACTTTACAAAGATTTCACAAGTGCCAGTGACCTGCAGAAAGGGGAGAATCTGCTAGCTACACGTCAGACAAAGGATTACTATTTAGAATACTTATCTAACTCAGAAAACTAGACTAAAAAGAAAAGCAACCCAATCAAAATATAGCCCAATGAAATAAATACATAGCTCTTAAAAGATGAATTACCAATGGCCAATAAACATGAGAAAAGGCTCAACACCTTTAAAGCTATCATGAAAATACAAATTAAAACCACAATGAGATTTCATCTTACCCTAATCAGATTGGCTGTCCACCAAAAGAACAGACAACAGAAGCCAGTGAGACCTCACTGCTGGTGGTCATGGAAATCAGTCCAGCTACTATGAAATCAGTAAAAAGGATCCTCAAAAAATTAAACTTAGTACTCAGGATCCAGTCAGACCTACTAAATCTATGGCAAAAGAAGGAAGTCAGTGCAGCCCAGGCAACGCCTGCACACCATGCTCATCACAGCACTGCTTGTAACAGTCAAGTCACAAAGTCAGCCCAAGGGTCATTCACATCTGGGGAGAGAATGTGGTGCACTCGCACACTGCCGTTCTGCTTAGCTAGAAGGAAGAAATAATGTTGCCTACTCAGAAACTGCAGATCAAATTAGTGACACGGGAAAACAAACACTGCATGCACAGTATCATCTGCAAATCCAAGAATTTCTTAGATACATTAAAAACGCAGGCATCTGAACACGTGTAGCACTCCCAACCCCAGCCCCCACCACAAAACTGGAAGGCACAGTGGGAGACAGGAAAGAGAGGAGAGTGTATCAGGAGGGGCAAGTGAATCTAAGCACAGGAAGTGGGTGAATATGGTCCAGGTCCGTGATATACTTGAAGAAGACTGTCTTTATGAAACCCAACACTGCACACAATGATTACACACCAAGAACAGAGGGAAAAAAGCTTAAAAAATACTCAAAGAAAGATAAAAAGCTAGAAAACACTTCACTAATGTCTTACACACACTGAGAAAAGCTGTCTCACAGTTTAAGGATACGCCGTCAAAACTGCAGTTTTGCAAAGGAAGAATGCAGGGATGCTGTAGTGCTCAAACATCAACTCTGTCAGCTTCTCTCTCTTTGCCCTGGTGTTCCACTGGAGAAGGGAGAAGGACCCAGGTTATTCGCTGACAGTAATTACAGCATTGACTCATTTCATACTACATTACTGAGGCGTGTTGGCAAAGGAAGCAAGGAAGGAAAGAAGGCAGGAACTTAGTTAACAAGTTCCTTTTTAAAAAAGAATCATAAATTAAACTCTATCATTCAACAGGTAAAAGTGTTAGCTACTATGAATTCTAGAAATAAAGACTTTTCAGACAACAGGAAAATTAAGATTTTAAAAACAAAAGTATTTTTAAATATTAAATCTGGTAACCAAAATCCTAAATATGAGTTTTAAAACACCCAATCATTCCACTTGTAACTGGTATTCACAAAGCCAATTATTTCATTTGCTGAAATGTTATAACTATAATCAAAATTAATCTTTCCCCAAATTTCCAAACTCAAAATATAAATTTAATGACTCTTTAAAAGAAAACAAAGGGTCAGCAAGGTGACTCAGCAGATAAATTCTGCCTTGTCCCCAATGCTGACAACCTTAGTTAGAGCCCTGGGATCCACATGGTGGAGAGGTCTAACACCTTCAAGCTGTTGTCTGACCTCTACATGTGTGCCTGGCATAGGAGGACCTACGTGTGTGTATATACACACATGATAAATTAATAGTAAGTGTATTTTTTTCTAAAAAGAAAATCTTCAAATAAGTGGAAAATAAAGGAGGAAAAAGAACACACACTAGAGACACTAATAAAGAGGTCTCACCGGTGCTTCCGACATAAGAACAGGATGCAGGCTGGCTTCGGATTTGACATGCATCTTGTATGTATGATCCAAAATGGCCTGGAAACTATCCCAGTCTTCAACTAGAACGAAAGAGTCAGAGTCTGAAACAAGGCTTAGCTGATGAATGAATGAATGAGCATCGTCTTAAGACAGAGACTGTTTCTATGACTTACAATTAATATCTCAATATACAGAATCTACTTTGTAACACAGCACTTTACCAAAGATGCCAGTATCATTTTCTGTATATAGAATCTCATTTTGGTTCTTCCAGGTGAGCCTCAGATCTGCCCCAAATATAAGTGGGGTATTTAACAGACACCTAATTCTTGCTAGAGGCCAGGTGGGTGATCAGAAAGGGAAAGAGGACACTAAAAAGCAGCTCATAGGCTAAACACAATTATATCTGGAGCTCATTTCCAGCAGACACTTTCTCCTCTTCTATTACTATCCTGTCTCCAGTGCATCCTCCAGCAGATCCTATACTGTCAGTGAGTCTTTCAGAGGGGCAAAGATGAGCGAGCACACTGCGCCTTATTTCATTTCCCTAGGCCAGCTTTCAGGGACTATTTCAGTGTGCTCCAAAGGAAGACAGCATTCTCTGCCTACCTTTCCTGCAACTGACCTAACCTGCACAATGCTACAGCCATATCTGTAAAGCACTTCAAAGCTATTTCCCTCAGAACTCCCATCTTGTCACACAAGCTGGTGTTTTTCTGCTTTTCTCAGTCTTTTTGGCCAGTTGAATTCCTATCCATGGCTCAAGATTCAGCAGCTACCTCCTTTATGAACTCCCTAATTCCATAGTTTCCACACCCACATAGCTCTTAACCCTGTGCACAGCATACAGTTTTCTGTACATATGCCAAACTCTCCTGACTGAGTTTAAGGGAAAGAAACACTTCTTATACATTTTTGTATTCTCACTAACCAAAATATTACTTTATGGAATTAAAACAAATACTTGCTCCTCTTGTAAGAAGTTGCTATTTGTAGCAAATTCATACCCATGCCGTTCTTGAGTGGTGAAATGGCCTCCATGTTCTCCCTGGGCACTCGGAGGGCATTGGTGTCTATGTAGTAGGTGGGCCCACCCTGCTTGCCTTTGTCACCATCTATCTCCATCATCGTGCTTCCGTCATCTCTCTCCAGCACCACACCAATAGCCGTGGGGAAATCAACCTGGGACGTTAAAACATGTGCTCTCATTAGAGGTTGTTTCCCATGTCATTTTTGCTTTGAGTCTCTACTGGAATTTAACTTTGCACAGATGACCCTTGCCTACCCACGTACTTCTCAGCACTGTTCTTACCTTAGGGCAGTCCTCCCCAGCATAGCCGGCCCTCACTGTATACGATCCAATGTCGAAAACAAGAGCGCCAACTTCATCTGAAGAAATTAAAAGAGAATCCCAGTAAGGGAGACAGAGGCAGACAGGTCTCTGAGTTCCAGGCCAGACTCCTCTACAGAGCTAATTCTGGGAGAGCCAGAACTACACAGAAAAACTCTTGTCTCAACAAAGTAAAGGAAATATTTTATGGATATACAACGAGAATATTTAAAATTTTGTAAAAATCCATTACATTCACACATCATTAGCTAGAATCTAGTTTTTACCATTGTTATTTTGAGACAGGGTCTCTCTATGCAATCTTACTTGTCACAGAATTCACAAAATTCCTGTCTCTGACTCTTAGGTGGATTAAAAGTATGTACCACTATGTCTGACTCGAACCTAGTATTAAACACACCTTCAAGATTTATTAAAATATGGCAAATCATACACTGTTTATCAGTGGAGGTTTAATCAGGAAAGACATGGTACACTGACAGCAGGTAGTAGTTTCCTTACTAAAGGGACTAGTTATAAACATCTATAGTTGAGGTACAGAATGACAAACAAAGGGATGTGCCCTTGTAATCTTTGGAACTAAAGAAATAACAAACTGTTAACAACGTAGAGAGAAGGGTTTTTGTGGGGATAACTGTTGGGAGCTGTGGCATCAGCTGAAATGATGCAGAGAGCTACAGCTGCCTATTCAGGGAGGGAGGACCAAGCTCACAGACTCCAACTTCCAGGAAGACTATAAGCCAGCATCCAAATTAGGACACTTTTAACTTGGGTGAGGAGCACCAGCTTTTAATGATTATACTAGAACAAAAAGCACAGGCAAGAAGTAGTTATTCTATCATCACCAAATCAAAGTTCAAAGCTCAAATCAGAGAGCGAGAAAGCCCAGAGGCCATCTCCACAGGCACAGGAAGGGTGCAGATGGCAGCAAAGAGATCAGGTAGCACAAAACAAAAGAAAACAAACAAACAAAAGGAAAAAAAACACCCAAAACATCTGAGTACCATTTCATCAATTACGAAAAATTATGTTTTGTTTCATGAAATGAAGAAACTCAGCAAAAACACGAGAACTGGAGAGCATGGAGAATCAGAGCATAGAGTGTCATTTACTCTATGTTACTTTATTTACTCTATGTTACTTACTCTAGTGTCATCTACAGGCCAAGTAGAAAGCACTTAATGAAGGTGTCACTTAAATTACATGTTCCAGACATTAGGATATAGTTTAGTGGTGAGAAAAAAAGTTGGCAATCTTTTTCAGTCTAATTCAGAGAAAGGTCGCCATTTATATTTTCAAGTACTTCACCCCAAACAGCAGGCCTCCTAGGATAACGGACTTTGGTTTCTCAGTGCTGGTTTGTCAATGGGGGTCCCCCCCCACCTGAAATTGAAAACATCCTACTTACCTACATTACTCAACTGCTAAGGCCTTAAGAAAAGTTCCTCTATTTCTCTAGTTAAAGCTATATATCACCATAGCCACTCTATGTAGTTTAGTGCTGGCTACAAAGAGGCACCCAAAGAATCAGAGCTATTTAGTTTATACATACTCAGTTTGGAGAAATAAATATTTTAAAAGGAGATGCATATGCAACTGCTTGAATGAAAATGTCTCCTATAGACCCTGATATTTAAACACCTGGGCCCCAGTTGGTGCTGTTTGTGGAGAGCCTTGATGTAGGAAGCTGTCACTGGGGACAGGCTTGGAGTGCAAAGTCCCCGCCATTTCCAGTTTGCTCTCTGCTTCATGTTTGAGGTTGGATATGTGAGCCCAGATTCCTGCTCCTGCCACCATGCCTGCTGCAAGCTGCCATGCCTCCCCATACAGGACGCGTACCCCTCTGGAATCATAAGCTAAAGTAAACTCTTCCTTCTAGAAGTTGCCTTGGTCATTTTTTTTTTTTCACCACAGCAACAGAATGGTGACTAATACACTACGTGAAATGGGTAATTTGCTAACTTCTCTGCCCCAGTTTAATCCGTAAAATGTATTTAAGATTTACCTCATAGGATACTATAACTAAACGCCTTCAATGTTTTAATGTATAAAAGTACTTAGAATAATGCTGACATAGAATAAGAACGAGAAATATTAGCTAATTGTAATTATTACTGTCACACTTCTTGCCAGGAAACATTATAGTTCCTAGAGAAACTGCTACAGTTCATTCTTACAAAACCCTACACATCAGTTAAAACGAGTGGGCACAGATTTACTGACTCAACTACAGATACAAATTTGTCGTGTGAGGATACTATTTAACTCACTATGGGTGCGTGTTACCGGCATACGGCAGAGAAAGGAATGCCTTTGCCTCATCCCAGAAGCTATTTGCTCCCAATTTACAAACAAAGTCTTTAAACTTACAGCTGGTTGTTAAACTCTTCCCAATATTTTCTTCTTCGTTAAAGTGGGAGATAGCAACACCATCTCCTGTCAGTATCCACCCCAGAAAAGGGAAAGAGTCTTTAACTAGTTAACTACTCTTTAAAAAAAAAAAAAGTGCTTGGAAGGCTTGATGTTGTTATCGCCTATCTATAAAAGGCTCCAGCCCAACTGGACAGGGAACAGCAGCCTGTACCTCAACGTTCCGCTCATCTAGGGACCAGGCACACCTAGAACGATGTCCAGTCTGTAGCAGCGGCTGCAGGACCCAGAGCAGAAGCCGCAACACCGGACGCGACTCGCACCCAGGGCCCACCCAAAGAGCCCGAAACCTCTGCGAGCTGCCTGGGACTAACGCGCGGCGGAACCGGTACAGCAAGGGGCCCGGCGTTTGCCATCAGAGTCCAGCCGATCCTGGAGCCCCAGGGGTAAGACACGGCAAGGCCCTTCCTTGAGGCCATCTCGGAACAACAGGACAAGCCGGAAACCTATTGCGCGCGGGCCCTGGCTCCGAAGAGAAGAGGCCGGGGCCCATACGGGGACCGGAAGCACCGGCCAAAGACCGGAAGGGCACGCCGAGGACCGGAGGGAAACGGAAGCGACCAGGGACCGGGCCGGTCGTTCCGGCCCGCACGCCCCGAGGCGCCACTGCGCTCACTCACCTCCGCCGTACACGCCGCCGCTCATGGCTACTGTCGGGCGGGGACTGGCCGAAGACTACTGGGCGGAAGATAACAGCGGCGCGACTCCTCTCGCCGAGAACGCCAGCACCGCAAGCCTGCAACTTCCAACGCCGCCCCCTCCGGCAACAAAGCAGCGGCCGCACGCCCGCTGTACAGCCACTCTTGCTGGTTTCTCTTGTCAACCAATGACAAGGGGCCCGTCTTAGTCTTTAGCCAATCAGAATGTAGCGCTGCTGCATCCCCGCGCGGTTTAGCCGTCTTAGCCAATGGAAGGCAGCCGTGGGGGCGGGGAGAGGGAGAAGCGACGGAAGAAGGGAAGGTGTTGGGGTACGGGCAGGAGGGGGCGGAGCTTCGCGAGCCGGTGAAGTGGGTGGGGCTTCTCGAGCGGGCGATAGGGTGGACTGAGCTTTCACAAGCAGACGGGAGAGTGGGTGGAGCTGCTTCGCGGGAGGATCTGAACTATGCTTCGCGCGCGAATAGAGTAGGAGGAGTTTTAGGTGGGCGGGCGAGTGGGAGGAGCTTCGGGCAGGAATGGGCAGGGTTTCCAGAGTGAGTTAATTAGGTACTGGGAATTAAGAGGCTTGCCTTGGGCCATCAACCGCTCTGGTCCTGAAGTATGGCTGCTTCGCAGGAGCCGTGCGAATTTAGACAGAGAAAGGAGAGTGTCTGCAAGGAATCTGGAATTTGAGTTACCTCCTAGAGATCCCTGGCCTTGGATTGTAATGAATTCGGATTTTTTTTTTAAGCAGAAAAAACTTCAACTAACATTTATACTTGAAAAACAAATGTGTACTACACTTTGAATTAATCAGCAAATCAGATATAATAGGATCCAGCAGTTTTAAAAATGGCTATTTATAATTAGAGATAGTATTTTTTTTCAGCTAGATTCAGATAGCATTTAAAAGTCATGACTTCAGTTTCTTTCATGTCTGTGAAAATCATTCACCAAGCAAGCGGAGCGCCATTCAAGGAAGGACCCGTTTGTAAATATATCCCCAATCTGTGTCTACTGTTCTTAGTCTGCATTTCTATCAGTGTTGTCCAGAACACTGTCTTGTCTTCCCAGAATTACGGCAACAATTTGTCCCTCTGCTTCTCTGGGCTTTAGATAGTTTGGTCCATATAGCAAAAGGCCCAAACCAGTTGTGCACTTCCAAAGCTGAAGTGTAATGTATCTCTAACTGGTAGCAGTACTTAAATTGAAGTGTCTAGGGTCTAGGCACATAGTGGCTACTTGTAACCGTAGGAGAGTTGAATAAAATCTCATCCATTTCTAAGCCACCAAGGTGGCAGAAATTGACCTGTCATAGGATCGGGAATAAGACTAGTAAGAAAACACTTTCCTATTCACTTGACATTATGTACTGTGAGCTAATGATGAAGGTTTGGGTTTGGATTTTTTAGACAAGGTCTCACTGTGTAGGCCAGGCTAGTCTTCAAGCTGTAACCCTCCTGCCTCTGCCTCCTGAGTACTGCAATTATAGGCACATGCCACCTTGTGTATTATGACATTTTAAATAATTTTAAAACATTTTTAAGAATGCTATGACACTCCCATGTCAAGAACCTTAGCTATGTTTTTTATTGGAGCATAGTCCAGCTTATTCACAGCTGTGACTGTGGTTATGTGTTTGGTTAAGCTGTAGAGCTTGTTACTGCCAAGTGCCCTGCTGGGAGGGATTGCTTACTTCTCAGACAATGTATGCAGCATCTAACACAGCCTACCTGAGTGCTATGTGCTGTGGTCCCCATGATCAGTGCTCACTACGGATCAGCACCCCAAAATGATTATATTCCCAGTCATGTTTTCATGTTTGACTAAATAAAACTGATGAGTTATAATGGACTGTGAGTCCAAGTCAGGCATTGTGGCACACAATTTTAATCCTAGAATTCAAGAAGTGGAGGCAGGTGGATTTCTGTGAGTTTGAAATTAGCCTGGTCTACATAGTGAGTTCTAGGCCAGTGAGAGCTGCATAGTAGCTACATAGCAAGACCCTGCCTCAAATATATGAATACATGATAAATACATAAATACTATGATTCCAATAATGAAATATTGAAGAGACATTATTTTTGCTTTAATATATAGTAATATAGTTAAACCATTATCATTTAAATACCTAGCAATTCATTTACAAGTTTGATGGATTTACAGATTGATATCCTTTACCAATACCATCCGTAACATCTCTCATGGATATAAGAGAATAAACTCTAGAATTAAAAATACCTCTTTGGGCTTAAGAAGGATCAAGTATTTGTTCCACTAGTCCAGAGTTCAACAGAAATCAGAGCTGTTCGGCAGGGTTGATTACACCGACTTGAGCTCACTGCTCCTAACCCATAGAATTTAGAAATCTAAGAGCAAACAATGTTGAAAAGCTGTGCTTAGGTGTTTTTAATAGAGTAAGAAATAAATCATAGATCATTCATAATTTCAGTTCAGCTCGGTCTCTTGATATACCACTGGAATAAAGACTTCTTTTGATGAACCAATTGGGTGAAGTTTATAGGAAATTAATTTTTTCTTTCACAGTATGCCTGATGTGTCAGGGCTAACCACATGTTAAATACATGAAAACACACATTTAAGCCTTTGAGGATATTTTTATTTTGAAACAAGACTGTGTAACACCCAGGCTGGCCTTAAACTCACCATGTAGCTGAAGATGGCCTTGACTTTCTGATCCTCCTGCCTCCACCTTCGGAGTGCTGCTGTTATAGGCACCACCACACCTACACCTGGCTTTACACTACGCAGAGGATCAGACTCAGGGCTTCATTCATGTCTGAGAAGCACTCCAATACCTTAGCTAATTTTAAAAAAATACAACAAGATGCTAAAATTATTGACCCTAAAGTATTGAATTGCTAGAAGAATCTCTTAAAGGGAAACTGCAGCCCAAGAGAGCACTCTGCAATCATGACATTGCTTCCTTTGAAGTAAGATCTAAAGTGTGGCAGTTTGTGTGTGTGGTCGGTCGGTCAGTCGGTCGTTCAGTCTATCGTTTGCTCAGTTTTGATATTTGGAGATACAGAGTTTCTCTGTGTAGCCCTGTCTGCCTTGGAACTTGCACTATAGATCAGGCTGGCCTCGAACTGACAGATTTGCCTCCCCTGCCCCTGCCCCCGCCCCCGCCCCCGCCCCCGCCCCCGCCCCCGCCCCTGCCCCAAGAACTGGGATTAAAGGCATATGCCACCATTCCCAGCTGTTGTTTGTAGTTTTAAAATTCTTAAATATTAGAAAACTTGGGGTCTGAAGAACTGAATCCATAGTTAAGAGCACTTGTTGCTCTTGTAGAAGACCCAGGTACAATTCCCAGCACCTATATAATAACTCATGGTCATCCAGACTCCAGAGCCTAGGAATCTGACGCACCTTTTTTTCTGATCTCCCCAAACACTGCACATATGTGATGCACAGACATACATGCAGGCAAAACATCCGTACACATAAAATATGTCTTTAAAATTTAGAAAACTACTACATAATACATTAAAAATAAAAATCCTGGGCCTGATGCCCAGCATAGCACTAGGGACGGTGCTATATGGCATGGACACTGTCTGAGGCTGCGCCATGTTTCTGCATGACTATTTCTCCCCTGAAGCCTGCTGTCTACGGTCTATACGAGCCTGGGCCTCCGTCAATGTTACTAATACTACTAGGATTAAAGAGTAAGAAAACCCAAGACTATTGGCCATCTCTTCCCTTCTCACTGGCACCCCGCATCAAAGCTGGAAGCGCCTGGCATGGGAGAACAGCTCAGTGGCAGAGGGCATGACTAGCATGTGAGAGGCTCTGAGATGATTCCTCAGCACTGCAAGGACAAAGCAATCCAGTTGTCTGTATCCACACTTGGAGCATTTCTTCCTAAACCCAGACACTAGGTCAATAAACAATGAAGTCCCACAGTAAAGTCAGCCGACCCAACAGTGGGTGCTCAGAGACTGACTCTGAGTCCAAATCGATAGACATTGTGCTTCCAAAAGCCTGGTACTATCCACGCATAAAGAATTTTCTGTATTCCTACTACAGCTACTAGCTTCGCCTCAAGGGGGAGCTGGTCTCCTGTTCTTGTGGTACCACACCAGATCTCCTCAGGCCTAGCCTATCAAAACACTTTAAGGAATTCAGTGGTCAGTACATAACCATAAGGATCTCTACCTCTGATTTTATTAAATTCACTGTTGAAAAAGCTTCAACTGTTATATACAATGATAGCAAACAAATTTGGAAGACTATTTCCATCCAAAAAAAAAAAATTCTCTTAATAAAGAAAAATAGGTATACCTAGAATTATTCCATACTGTAAAATACATGAAGTGAGTGAGTATAAAAGGCAAATGTCAATGTGGACATTTTCGTGTGGATACATGTGTGAACTGGGAGTGATAGGAAGCACTAGCTTATGTTTACTGACATTTCTGTGCAAGTGCTGCTGACAAAACAGGTAACTGGAATCTGGGCTTCTCAGCCACAGAAACTGGAGTGGTGGTTTGCATAAGAATGGCCTGCAAAGGCTCAGATACTTGAGTGCTTGGTCGGTAGGGAGTGGCACTACTTGACAAGGACTAGGTGGTGTGACCTTGTTGAAGTAGGTGTGGCTTGTTGAAGTAGGTGTGGCTTGTTGAAGTAGGTGTGGCTTCCTGAAAGAAGTTTGTCACTGGGAGTGGTCTTTGGGGTTTCAAAGGCTGACACCAGGCCTAGAGTTTCTTTCTTCTTGTTGCCTTCCCATCTGGTTGTATACTTCTCAGGTACCACATCTGCCTATGTGCCTCCATGCCCCCCACGGTGTGAATAATGGACTAAGCCTGTAAGCGAGCCCCAATTAGATGCTTTCTTTTGTAAGAGTTGTCTTGGTCGTGGTGTCTCTTCACAGCAATAGAATATTGGCTGTGTCAGATTCACACATGAACTGAGTCAGATTCACACATGTCTTGCCATTAGGATAAGAAGACCTCTGCTAACCATTTTGCTAACAGATCAGGGATTACGAAGAAACAAATGATATTTTTGAGGAACCAGCTTGACTCCATTTTCTTTCTTTCTTTTTTCCTCTTTTCTTTCTTTCTTTTTTTTCCCTCCAAGACAAGGTTTCACTGTGTAGCCCTGGCTGTCCTGGAACTCACTCTGTAGACCAGGCTGGCCTTGAACTCAGAAATCTGCCTTTGACTCCATTTTCAAGGCAGAAGTCATAATGCTGTATTATTTTTTTTTTAAGTTTTTATTTACTGTAAGTGCTGAGTTGCTGTTTTTAAAGTCTGTTTTCTGGAGCCATGATCCTGACTTATTTTTGAGGACACC